CCACTGTCGACTACGTGGGAGTCCAGCGACATAGCCATTACGCTAACTGCTGGTCCCCCCCAATTTTTTTTTAAAGCAAAAACATCATACTCATTTTACAAACTGATCTTTGTTCAGATATCTGACGTTTGGATAACTAAGTGAATTCTCAAGTTCAAAGAATTAATTCATGGTAGAGATGTTAAATCTTCTGATTCCTCATATGTTTTTTTTTTTTCCCTCTGCTAGAGAGGGAATATAGCAAAAAGCTAAAATCATTGATTTTATGGGGTCAGCAGATGGTGTGGTGGTTAAGACACCAGATCCTACATGGCTGACTTCAAGTCCTAGACCCAGAGGCTTGAATATCATGCTGGGCGCATGTGCATGCATGCCCAAAATCCTGAGAAGAGAATGGAAAAGAAGGAATTATGTAATGGCCATCCTGTCGAAGGAGTGATTTCTCACTTTCACTCTGTCTCTCTCTGGCAAGTGCACATACCCTATGGCAAGGACCTTTTTTAAAACTTGATTTTAGGGACCAGCAGTTAGTGTAATAATGGCTATGTTGCTGGACTCCCACGTAGCCGACCGTGGTTCGCATCCCAGACCGGGTGGCTTAAAACTCACACCAGGCGCGTGTACGTGCGTGCCCAAGATCCTGAGGGGAGAACAGAGGAGAAGGGATTGCAGCGTGGCCATCCCCCCTGGGGGGTGATTTCTCGCTTTCTGTCTCTCTCTCTCTGTCTGTCTGGCGAGCACACGCGCTCTATAGTGAAAACCTCTCAAAAGAAAAAATAAATAAAATAAATTTAATTTAGAGTTAAGACTCCTCCCCCTTTAAAAAAATTTCCCAGAGGGCACCCTCCAGAGGGGATGGTCATGTTGCAAATTCCTTTTCCTCCATTTATCTTTTTGGGCATGGGAAAACACATGCTGGCACGTTTTTCAAGCCAGGAGGTCTGGGACCAGAATTGTGGAGTCAGCCACATGGGATCCAGCTGCCTTAACTATCATGCCACTGCCACTTTCTGGCCCAAACTTCCTGGATTTAAACTTGAATTCTGGCCCAGCTGTGGTGGTATAGGCATTGAGGCCCCGCTGCTTAATACTGAGGTCATATGAGAAGGCCCCTGTTCAGATGTTGGGTCAAACTGAACTCACAGGGTGCTTTTGGTGTGGTGAGACCCTGTCAAAGTTACTTGTCTGTCTATCTCTCAATAAATAAGTAACTAGGGAACCAGCAGTTAGCGTAATGGCTATGTTGCTGGACTCCCACGTAGTCGACCGCGGTTCGCGTCCCGGACCTGGTGG